TTATCTTTTCTCCCACAGCATTTTGTGAAGATGATGTCAATCTCTGGGTGGCAGGCCTGAATTGGCTGGTGACTGACACACAACGAGCACCGACACCACTCTATATCGAAAGGTGCGGAGAAGCTGGAGACAATGATGCATAGATAAATGGGGTGTGCATTGTGCAGATATTGAACTATCCCATACAGAATGCTGCACACCACTGTTCATGTGAATACATCCTCCGATCAATTAAGAAAGGCCCAGTGTGTGATTAGCATCCTTTGATTGTGCTGATCCCTGTCCTCAGTTCTGGAGCGGCAGAGGATAGGAAAGGTATCTTCAAATATCTGTAGGACTGTCATCATGTAGAAGAAGGAGGAAGCTTGTTTTCTGCTGCCCCAGATTGTAGGACCAGAACTGATGGATCCAAATCACAAGAAAGAATATTTTAAGTAAATATTAGGAAGAATTACCTGCCAGTAACAGCTGCTAGCGTGCCTTAGAAAATGGTAGATGCTCTTTCATTGGAGATTTTTAAACAGAGGTTGGATGGCCACCTCTCAGGGGTATTTTAATGATGGGCTACTGTGCTGGCAAGGGTTAGACTGGATAATCCTTAGTCTACCTTCCTACTCTTTTAGTCTGAGTTTATAGTTATGGGATTACTTTGTGACCCCTGCCTTCATTGTTTCCCTCAGTCTGTTAGCTAAGAACATATCAGTTATCTCCCTTACCATTTCTTACTTAAAGGAGGTTGTCTCATAGTTCAGCTTTCTAAAGAGGGCATAATGAACCTTGCTCTTGAACAGAGACACCTTGAGAATATTCAGAAAAGAAATTACTTTTTATCTGTAAGAACAGTTGCACAGTGGAGCTGATTACCTAAGAGGGTGGGTACTCCCTTGCCAGAAGGTGGATGGTCCTTTGTTATAGGTTCTTTAGGTCTGGATTTTCTGTATTGGTTGGGAGTGATGATGGACTACTAGAACATCAACAAGACCCCTTCCTACTCTATGATTCTGTGATCACCTCCACCTGTGTATTCACCCGCCCAGCAATGCAGAGAATAACAGAATCATACAGTTGGACAGAACCCAAGGGCCATCCAGTCCAACCCTGTTCTGCCATGCAGGAATACACAAAGCCCTTTCCAATAGATGGCCATCCAACCTCTGTTGAACAACCTCCAAAGAAGAAGACTCCATCAACTTCTGAGGTAGCATATACCACAGCTCTTACCATCAAGAAGTTCTTTTTAATGTCTAGGTGGAATCTCTTTTTCTGCAGTTTGAATCCAGTGCTCCATGTCCCAGTCTCTGGAGCAAAAGAAAACAAGCAGTTCTATTGTTCCTATGTTTCGAAGGAGAAGAATGTATTATTTGAACCATTTCAGTATGCATGCATCCTGCCTTGCTTAAGAATGAAGTTACAGCCATTCCACTGAGCTAACTGTCATCCCAGAATAGAACATATTTGATAAAAACCCTGTTTCATGCCACATGGTAGTGTCTTCCACATATATATACCTCTCCGAAGGCTTATTCCTTTCTTCTCTCCTCAGGTGGTTGAGAAAACAGTTTGACTCGATGGACAGATCAAGAGAAGGCAGGTAAGTGTGGAGTGTAGTTCTCCCTTTGATGGTCATAATGGATTCCCCCACAACACACCTTTAGGAACAGACTCTTAAATACTTGTGTTCTTCCTCAGTCCTCCTCTCCAATTCTGTTCATATATATAGTGAACATCCTGGAGACCATGTTGAGCCTTACTTTTTAAGGACTTTCTCCCCATCCTGCAAGCATGGGAGAACATGAGAGAGAGCCTTTTTGGTAGTTGTTCCCAAGTTGTGGAATTCCCTCCCATGTGAGGCTCCCTTGGCTCCCTCTCTGCTCTCTTTCCACTGTTAGGCAAAAATCATTTTGCTTAGGCAGACCTTTGGCTCTTAACTTACTATTGGAAGAAAGATCTTAATGGTGTGTAGTATGGTTTTATCCTTTTTAATATGTTTTAATGTGTTCTTAACTTGTTTTAATATAGAATTAAAAGATATATCTGTGTTAGTCTGTAGATTCAGTACATAGATAGATCTTGTAACACCTTTGAGACTAAATGAAAGAAAGAAATTGGCAGCATGAGCTTTCCTAGACTTCAGTCTTCTTTCTCAAATGCATCTGAGGAAGTAGACTGAAGCTCTAGGTAAGCTCCTGCTGCCAACTTCTTTCTTTCAGTTAGGGCCTTTACAGACTGCCAGAAATAATGCAGCTTGAGGCCACTTTAACTGTCCTGGCTCAGTGCTAGGGAATCATGGGAATTGTATTTTTTTCTGGGACATAGAGCCTCCTCTGCCAGAGAGCTCTGGTGCCACAATAAACTACAGTTCCCATGATTCCTTAGCACTGTGCCAGGACAGTTAAAGTGGCCTGAAGCTGCATTATTTCTGGTAGTCTGTAAAGGCTCTTAGTCTCAAAAGGTGCTACAAGGTCTCTCTACATACTTGTTTTAATATAGCGCTTTTAATAGAATTGTTTATTTAATGATTTTTAAACTTTTGTATGAAATAGTTGTACTTTGTTTTGATTTGTTGTAAGCTGCCTTAGGTCCTTGTAAGCCTGCGGGGGCCACATAGAAGCAAGAGCAGTCTTGTTTTCTGGTACTCCACTAGAGGATAGGAATTGCAGCCCTGGACTCATGTGACAAAGAAATGAGATTTTGGCTAAATGCTAGGAAAGACGACCTGGCAGCAATAACTGTTCAACTGTGGAATGGACTACCAGAGTAGATGCTGGACTTTCTCTCCTTGGAGGGTTTTCAGCAGAGTGTGGATGGCCACCTCTCAAGGATGCTTTTGGTGTGGCAGTCATGGCCAAGGTGACCTTTTCCAAGACTGTGATTCTGTGAGTTAGAAATGTTTTGCCTAGACAAGAGGTGCTTACGATAGAATAGTCCCATAGTGAAGGGCTTCAGTAACATCCAAACAATGATACCTTTGTTGGGCCAACCAAAATGCACAATTACATGTTGCAAGCTTTTGAAGTCACACTGCCTTCATCAGGCAAACAGGAGGGAAAAAATTGAAGATAATAATAATAATAATGCATTTTCTGTTTCTGATCTCAGTTCAGGTGTTAGGGGAGGGCTATCTGCAGGCTGGCTCCTCCCCCTTCCACAAAGGAAAAACACATGCTGGATTCTAAGGAAACATCTTCTTTGGATTGCAAATGGACATTAAATCTCCTTGCCTTGCAAAATTTTCCATTGACCGCATGGCCAAAAGGGGGAGAGCCAGCCTGCAGATAGCCCTCCCCTAACATCTGAACTGAGATCAGAAACAGAAAATGCAAGCCTAAGACTAACATCTTCTTCTTTTTCTCCTGTTGGCCTGATGAAGAAGCCAGTGTGACTTCAAAAGCTTGCAACATGTAATTGTGCATTTTGGTTGGCCCAATAAAGGTATCATTGTTTGGATGTTATTGGATTTGCTATATGGCCAACACGGTTACCCGTAGATGTTTTATAGTGGGGGGCTGTATGGTCCGCTTCCTCAGATGCATGCAATGAACTGGTGCCCAGGAAGGACATTTATATCTTCCCTCCTGTCGTTGTCCCTCAATGACCATAATTAAAGCTCACCTCATCACCATCCCCACAAGTTTTGCATTTATATGGCTGTTCATATAGTCTGATTATAAAGGTCCTTCTTGGGCATTAGTTCACTCCATGCATCTGAGGAGGTAGAACAAGTCTATGGACCTTATCCCACGGGGCCAAAAGCAGCAAGAATCCACATGGAATCAGGCGCTATAGCGCTATAGTTTTCCGGGTGATCCCACGACGTCTCTCGGAATCCGCTAAGAATCAGGCGCTATAGCGCTATAGTTTTCCGGGTGATCCCACGACGTCGCTCAGAATCCGCTGAGAATCAGGCGCTATAGTGCTATAGTTTTCCGGGTGATCCCACGACGTCGCTCAGAATACAACAAGAAACCGCTCGGAATGCAGCATCATTCGGGTTCTTTTGTATGCCTGTTTTCATCGGGCATTGCAATATCGCTACCTTATCCATAGCGCTATTATAGCGCTAGCGCCATATTATACTAGCGCTATAGTACTGCAATGATGCTCATATCGGTTTCTTGCCACTTTTGAGAGCAGCGTGGGATAAGGTCCTATGAAAACTTACGCTACAACCTCTTTCTCTCAGTTAGTCTCAAAGGTGCTGCAAGATCCCTTTGCGTATTGATGTTCCAGCTAACACAGTTATGTCTCTGAATAGTAAAGGGCTGTTAAGTAGCTGATGGTGCACATTTGTTTTTCTTTGCTTCAAGGGATATGGATCAACCAAGGGTTTAGACTGAACATTATGGTGGTATGGAGAGTTTCACAGTGGAATAGACTTGGAAAGTGGTGGACTCACCTTCATTTGTGAGTTGCTGTTTTATTAATAAGAAGGTGGATGCCACCTACTAGGGTGACAGTCCAAGGGAATTTCCTACATTCATATCAGGTTGAACTAGATTATCTTTGAGGTCTTTCCAACTCCCTGACTTCTGAGATTTAGAATCAAGTCTGAAGTTTTCTGTTACCTAAACGGCTCAATTCATTCTCCAGGGCGGCCTGTCTCCTACTACTATACTTGGTTTCCATCCCTGAATGTTTGTGTGCTCCACTCTCTTTATTCTTTCACTTGTCAATGTATTGTTTAACATTCCCCAAAGCCTGAAGCTTATTAGCTGCATTAATTGTGCAAATTGATGCTTTTAATTATGGATAGTTGAATTACTTCTGAACAATAGTATAGATAGCTTAATTACTTTTTAATGGTTATAGGTAGTTTAATTACTTTTAAACAATGATTAGAGGAGCAACAACAATAACAACTAATAATAATAGCAGCACATAAAAGCAAATAGGTTTCATTTGCGTGATAACAACAATGACAATGGCGTGATGCTACGGATATTTTGAGAGAAAATGTAGTTTCATTTATTATATAAAGTATGGTAATGCATGCAGTGAGAGTCAGGGTGGCGTAGTGGTTTGAGCATTGGACTACAACCCTGAAGACCAGGGTTCGATTCTGTGCTCAACCATGGAAACCCACTGGGTGACCTTGGGCAAGTCACACATCTCAGCCCCAGGAAACCCCATGATAGGTTCTCCTTAGGATCGCCATTAGTCAGAAGTGACCTGATGGCACACAACAATAATATATGCAATATATAGTAGGTCAGGTAAAGATCTGTCAGGCGTGGGTGAGAGAATGGAATTTGGGAAGTGACTGGTGACATGTCTGAGAGGATTTGGAAAAGGCTGGTATATGATGACAGTTGGTCAGAGAGGGAGAGTTGGGTCCGTCAAAGTTAGTGGGTTTGAGAACTTAGAGTAGTTAGGAGAGTTAGATTCAGGGTCAGAAATAGAAGAGAGATTCAGGGTTAGCGATGAGGAGAGATAGAGTTAGTTAGTGTGTGAGTGTGTGTGTGTGAGTGTGTGTGAGGGAGAGATGTATGTTAGCATCATTCCTAATTTGTACGTATTAAATAAGTAATCTGTGATGTGATGTTCAGTTTCTTTTTAATAAATCATTATTTTTATACACTTGGGACTCTGCGAGAGTGCTAAGTATTGGAGAGTTTGAGTTCAGACATAGTTAATACAAGGTAGTAGTGTCTGGTGAATACAGTCTCACACAGGAACCATGATGGCATCTAAAAGGTCCCCACAGTTGCTGGCCAGAGTGATGGGACAAGAAGAGATCCTTGTATTGGTGGCAAGTGGGAAAAGTGGAAGCCCTCACAAATGATAAGGATGATGATGATGATAATGACAAGGATAGGGTAATGATAATGACAACAACAATAGCACATACAGGCAAGTAGTTTTCATCACCGGGGGGGGGGG